CGCGGACCGCGGATGGGCTTGTCCTCCTTCTCTTCCTCCTTGGGCTTCCTCTGGTCGGCGCCCAGATAGTCCGGCATCTTGGCCGCCCTGCGCCCCCGCACTGCGCAGGCGCCGCGCCCTCAGCCCCGGAAGCATTACGCAGCGGCTCTCGACTTCCGGTTGTCACCGGCCTCCGCGCTCGAAGGGGGAAGGGGACACCAGGCCGCTTCCGCCGGAAGCGGGGGGGCAGAGAGAACCTGGCCGAATGTGACGGCAATCTGCTCCCCCGGCAGCACTTCCGGTCGCGGGTGGTGGGCTGCCCTCTGGCGGCAGGAGGTCCGCCCTCCCCAGCCGGGGCCAGCCCTGGCAGCGTACGTGCGCCTGCCATGCGGGACGGGACACGGCTGCTTCTCTGACAGTTGTGGGCGCCCACGTGAGGGGCTACACACAGGCATCGCCACCAGGCCCGGGGCGTCGAGCCCCGCAGCACTGGGTCCCCACACGCTGGCTCTGTTGCAGCCCAGCCTGGGCCAGCCCGAGCCCCGTGCGTTGCACCGTTCGGCTCCACAGGCCGGAGCCGCCCCCTGTGCTGTCTGAGCCCCGCTGGACCGCGCGCCGGTGCTGATGCCACGTTGGGCGGTGGGCGAGGCACCTGGCACAGACCCCCCGGTTGAACCCGGCGGCCTCCCCACCTCGGCCTCTTCCGCAGCCGGGGGTTTTGCACCTTCCCGGCTGCGGCCCCTGAAGAAGGGTCGGGCCAAGCCGCGAGGCTGCTCCGGGGCCGTCCCCACGTGTCTCCGTGTGTTTCTGCCTGAACAGACACCGCTAGGACGTGACGGCGGACGCGGGACGTGGCCCCGGCTGCTACGTGCGGCGCCGTACCCCCCGCCCGGGCCCCGGCCGAGCCGCGTCACGGGACTCCGACGCCGCGGCCTGGCCCCTGGAGCGAGACCCGCCCTGGCGCGCTGCATTGCACTGCACGCGGGGCGCTGCTCCTGCCACGGCCCAGGCGGCCTCGCGTGTGGGCGAAGCGGGGCAGGTGCACGCGGCGCCACGCGCCGCATTTGTGCAGCTGGTGCCTGCTGGGCCGTTTTTGCAAATTTTCACAATTTTTTCAAATGGTAACAAGGCTGTGAAACGTGCGTGCCTGGCTGTCAGCCTGAATGCCCCTGCCACGACACTGCAACAGCGCCCTCCACCACCTGCATTGGCCCGGCTCCCGCGG